ATATATGACTGTATATAACTATATATACATATATATATATATATATATATATATATATATGCAGGTGTGTGTGTATGTGTGATTGAGTGTGTGTGTGTATGTTTATACGTATGTCAATATTATCATGCATATACTGGGCGACTATAGCTACAAACTGTTATTGATATACGTCTATGATATGTATGGTTATGTAATCATTAATATAGTGCGTTACCTCGCCTCTATGACAAGTCCAAAACTATTCGATATTTTTAATTCAGAAGGCTATGTTCGAAATTGATTTCTTTTTTCTCGGTGAATTCTGAATATGAGTTTATACGCAGGTGATGTTGTGCGAAATCGATTCAGTATAAGCTGATTCAGATGCAAAACAAGTAGAAATAGCTTTTGTCATGTAGAAAACGGACATTCAAGTCGGGATGATATATACGAATTACAGGGTGTTAACACAAGTGAATTGGCAGAAATCGCAAAAACAATGGACGAAATCGGCACAAAACACGGCTGCGACTTGATACCCGATATAGTGCAGTGTTGTTTGGCAATGGCGGACAAAATACGAGAGAATAAGGCCTTGCCTACGCAGGAACACGACCAGCGTGGAAGGATAGCGGGCTACTCACTGACTATTAACGAGCTGGCAGAGGTTCGTGGAAACATCTACCAGTAAACACCTATATATGTTATATATATCTATATCTATCGTTACAAATAAATTTCTATATATATATATATATATGTATATTATGTATATTATGTATATTATGTATATGTACTATATCTGTATGGATGTATTTATGTATGTAGGGATATAGTATATGTATATATATATGTGTGTGCGTGTATGTGTATGTATGTATTATGTGTGTGTGTATGTATGTATTTATGTATGTATATGTTATGTATGGATATATATATATATATCATATATCATATATCGAACAATGATTTTTTTAATTCAGATTCGTCTTCTACGAGCACAAGTATAAAGTGCGTACTTTTAACTATAAAATTGTGCACCCATATATTCCAATCCCAAGTTTATTTTGCCATAAATTCATATATAAAATACAAAACGCAAACGGGACGAGTGCTACTGGGATACTTCGATTTCCGTACGAACACCGCTAAACGAATCAATACGCACGTTCAACCAAGCAGCCTGAACAGTATATCATGTATCGTTATGTATATATACTAAGGCATATATACCGACGGTGCAGGTGTGTACATGTTCATCTCAGCTTCACACCTCCTTGCCCCTAATTCCCCCAACATTCAAACTCTACAGCAAAACAGGCAAAAACGCGAAGAGTGCTACAAGCTCATCTGCGGTTACCTACAGACACCGCTGGACGAACCAACACGCACGTTCAACGAAGCAGCCCTACACGACGCATTGCAGTCGGAGAATGCGGAATGGCTCACCTACTTCTACACGTGGCTTACGGAGAATCCCAAGTACAGGCTGTTGTTGGTCTCCATGGCACCGGCCAATGAAGACTTGCTCAGGGTAAGGGACACATATACATATACATGTGTACAACCATATGCATATACATTAGTACACCCATATACATATACATATGAACACCCATAAACATATACATAAGTACACCCATATACATATACATAAGTACACCCATATAAATATAAATAAGTACACCCAAATACATATACATATGTACATCCATATACATATATAAATAAGTACACCCAAATACATACACACAAGTACACCTATATACACGTACACGAGTACACCTACATGCCTTCCGTGTGGATTTTGTATACACATGACATGTAATGTGGGTGTGTCTGTGGTGGTTGTAATATGTGTGGCAGGTTGTGTCGGAGAAGGTGGACGTACTTCCACACATGACTTACGGAGAATCCCAAGTACAAACTGTTTTTGGTCTTCATGACACCGGTAAATGAAGACATGTTTTTTACATGTATGTACTACATCACACTACACTCGTTTTGTCTTTACATTTGGGTTTGAATACGTATTCAATAGCTTTCTATGTCGTTCTATATAACAATACACAAGTCCTGAATACGTTCACTCATCGTACTGCACCCAGGACCATATACACGCCGACTATCGCAAGGCCATGGGAACGTTAATAAGAGCAACCACACCGGAACAAGATCAGAACCAGGCAGATGTCCTGGACATCGCGGAAAACTGGGCCAATTATCAGGTGCAACGCAAGCAACACTATGCAGGGGCGTGTGTCCTGTTCTCGCTGGCTATGACTGAAGGGTAAGAATTCTATAAATAGAACGTGTGTCTATATCGGTTCATACCGGTACGTATGCGTGTCCGGTGCAACGCTGTGAGGGAGGCGATAGACTGTGATCGTTGGCTCTGGCTAAAGGGTAGGTATTCTATTAATAGCACGTGTATCTGTACCGGTTCATACCGGTATGTAAGCGTATATATTAGCGGAAGGCACTGCCAGGGGACGATTGTACGTGAATTATTAGCTATGGGAGAAGTGTAAGGACTCAGTTTATAATATTGCTTAGAGCATCAGGTTTGAACCCGGTTTAGCGGACGAGAGATAGTTCAACAAAGCGACTTGATGCCAGCATGAATTCCACTACGACACTAATAGTGGCTTTTGACTACAACCATCGTAGCGGGAACCGAGCATGCGGCTGTAGAAATTCAGTGTGTCTGCAATCCAGACGTTTGAATTAAACCTTCAAATAGCAACTCTGCTGATATATCGTGTCTTACGCGCTGAAGATATATGTTAGTATATAAGAAAAGGAAACTGGCTCGATATTTTACCCCCGAAAATCAGGCGCATTTTGCAAATGAGATCGATAGTTTTCCTTTATAATCAATACCATTCCGATGCAAAATCGTTGTTTTGCCCCCTATTTCGGGACCCATTTCTGTACTAAACCGATAAATATCTCTGAAATCAGGAACATTTTTATTGGCAAGCGAATCGAATACTTCCGCAAGGCCAAAGCGTACCTAAAAGTCGCGAAGTGGAACAATTGTCAAGAAAGCCGCAGCACTGAATTCGACGATTGGACGGGGGCCATTACCGATAGGATAGCGGTATGCTCGTTTAACGGGGCACCTCTGTGACACAAGTGAATATCTGTTCATATATATATATATATATATATGTATGTA